TCATGAGTCTTTACAGCAGTAGCAATGATAGAAGGTGCCCAGCTTGGTTTGGCTCCGTGACCTGAGCCTGCAGCATCACTTTGCTTTAAATAATAATGTCTCTTGGGCATGGGAGATGGAAAGGAGAAGAACAGGCAGATCAGAGAAATTGATAGAAAACAGATGGAGAAGAAGAAGGAAAGATAAAGGTGGGAATAGAGCCACTGGAGGCAGGCAGGGTGTGGTGATCTTTCAGGAGCACAGTATGATGGGAGACTGATGTGCTCCAAATGCTGACAGTGTGAAAGAACAGGGATCACCCCTAAACTCTGCAGGCCTTGGAAATCCTTTCCTTGCTGAGGGCATTTTGTGGCACTCTGGGCAACAGCTCCTTTTTGCTGAGATATTGATGTTCCAAGGGCACTTCCTGCTCACATCAGCTTCTAGCAAAGCTTCTCATCCCTCCTGGCACATCCTCCCTCCCCAGCTGCCCTCACCTGCCGTCCGTGTAATTGGCAATAATTTCCCTAAGTGCTCACAAAAGCAGATGTTCTCTCTCTGTGGTCGCATCCGGCCGGCGTACACTGCACTGGATACACGAGCACAGGGCATTAAAGGGCTAATTCCTGTAAATAAGCCTATTAAAAGGTTGGAAATAATGCCTCTAACTAAACCATCAAATGCAGACGAATCCCACTGGTTGTATTAATTTGTTATCTGCAATGTGCCAATCCCATTCTGCCCAGAACTGGGTGTCCTCATGCTTGGCCAGTAGCTCGTATGTGGTGGTCAGTGGGTGTTTTGTATTGTTTCCAGCTAATAAATCACATTTAGAGGTAATTAACACTCCATCTAACACTTCCTCAGTATTGCTGATGAGTGGGAGAAGAAACTGCTTCATGCAGTTTTGAGTGGGGTACTCAGTGCTTTCAAGGCTTTAGGTGATGCTGCTGGAGAAAAAAAATTAATCTCACTTATTTCCCTGCCTCAAAGCAGGGAATAAAGAGGTGGGTTCCCAGTTGTTCTCTAAATTCTGGATGTAAGGAACATGTTTATTACAATGAGAGTGGTAAAACTCTGGCACAGGTTGCCCAGAGAAGCTGTGGCTGCCCCATCCCTGGAAGTCCTCAAAGCCAGGTTGGACAAGACCTTCAAGACCATGGCCATGGGCAGGGACATTTTCCACTATCCCAGGTTGCTCCAAGCCCTGTCCAACCTGGCCTTGGACACTTCCAGGATAGGAAGCTCTTAAAAACTCTCTAAAATCCATGAACTCACTTTTCCCTGGCCCTGCATGTTCAGCAGCATTTCATCGCCTCACTAGATTGGCCATCTGAGAAAATGGAAAAATCGTGGCATTTTGATGAGCTGACTTTTTAAGGCAGCATCTCTCTGGGCCTGCAGCTCCAGAAATACCTGTCAGGCAATTTTCCTTTCACCTGGAAACACGCTCCAATGTCTTATTTGTGGATTGTGCTGAAAAACAGTTGTGTCTGGCAGCACAACTGCTCCAGTCAGACTTTTCAGCTTGAAACCTTCAGCAGAAGACGTGCCTCACAATGCTTTTGGCACTCACAGGAGTCAGGGAGGAATACGCTTCAAATCCAGATCCCCTCGTTTGCAAACCATGGTAAAATTATGATTTTGGTTTATCTGGAAAACAGAGCAACACTGTTAATGAGAGATGCAGGGGATGCATCTCTGGCTGTCACCATTTGTACCTCATCCTCAACCCTTTTTTTTTCTTTTTTTCCTCCCAGTGTAATACATGCAAATATATGTAAAGAGTAAAGACTGTTCCACCGAGTCTTGCACGTTTGTTCAAAGAGGAGGAAAACAAGTCGATCTTAGAGGGAATTTGCAGGCTGAATTTTTAAGACCTGTCTGTAAAAAAAAAAACCCCAAAAAAAAGCAGCTGCTGGCCACGGGGTGCTGCTGACCGAGGTGATTCCTCCTGACATCTGTTTTCCCTGCGCTCACAATCGTAATGTCATTAACACGGAGCTTTTGGAGAACTGGAGTATATCCTAATTAGCAGCCTCTGATTTTTTTTTTTTTTTTTTTTTTTTTTTTTTTCCCCTAGTTTCATAATCAGTGATCTCGGCTACACCACAAGTGTTACTGTGGCAACAGGGCTGAACGGAGCAGCGGTGCGGAATTACCGCAGGTAAAAGCGGTGATTTCACGGCTCCGTGGCACTTTCTTATCCCCCTGGGCTGCTCCGTGGGACGGGCTGGCTGCTCCCCTCACCTACAGGTGTCCCGGGTGGATTTCAGGGTAAGCACAACCACGGAGATTCAGCTGCATGACCCAACGCATGCGTTTGAATTTGGGGCTGAGCCTCTCTAATGAGATTTTTTTTTTAAGGCTGTCATGCCAGCGATCCCCCTCCGACACCTTTGTTTTAAGTAGGATGCTCCGAGCCCTCACCGCCTGAACGCTCCCGGCTCAATCCTGGCGTGGAGCTGGGACTTCATCCCGGTCCTGCAGAAATGCTGGGCTTTTAATTTTTTTTTTTTGTAATCTCTTTGTGGGGGTTTCTTTTATTTTCAGCCTCGTTTCTCCTCCCCACGCACCGTTCGCTCTCTCTGAAAGGCATTTTGCTAGGTAGGGATGTTGTCATGCTGAATAATAGCCATCCTTCATCCTGACTCTTCCTTCAAAATCAACCCCTCCTTTCCATAGCTGGGATGTGAACCGTGCTCGTGTTTCCTTTGTACACGCCTGGGACTTAGGAGGGGACACCCTACAACGGGATATTTAAGGAAATACGTTCCTGTGTGCCTTGACTTCTTTTGTTTTGATTATTAATTAATGATTTTGAATAATGAGTTGAGGCAGCTTCTCCTGTGCCTCTCTGGCAGTTGTTCTCCACTTCCCGGTGCAGTGCTGATCCCGTGGGGAAAGCACACCAGGAGAGTGGTCTTGTACCAACCAGCCAGGGGTTTTTATAAGCTCTGAGGGCGTTTCTTTGGCAGGTCTGTGTTAATCATCCCAGAGAAGGTCTCACCTCCCTCTCCCCTTGGCAGCACAGCTCCTGCTGCACCCCATCCCTCACCTCCATCCCAGCACCTTCTTCCTGGTCAAGGCTTGGACTTGGTCCTCCTCCATGCCCTGACAGCTCCCTCCTCAAAACTTCCCCTTCTCTTGGCACTCACCTGTTCCTCCTTGATGCTCTGTCCTTTAGGAAACCCTCTCCAGCTGGTCATTCTCCATAGCTACAGGCCCAGGAGGCTTTTCATCCCCTCTGTCTCTTCCATAATTTGTTCCCCAAGCCACCCACAAGTTTATTCTGCAGTAGCAACTGGCACGTATTCCCATGATCACACATGTGGTGCCAGGAGAAAAGAGTGGCTGAGGGCAAATTAAACCTGTCCTAATTATGAGAGTTATTAGGGAAATTATTATTAGGAAAATAATTTGTATTTGTAGTTCTTTCCCTCAGAGGCACCTTGGGCGGTTTGCAGGTGGTGTTTGTGGCAGGTGTTTGTGCCCTTCCATGGACAAGGATCTTCAAGGGCTTTGGTCTTAGATGTGCCACAGATCTGCTCCTGGCTTCATCCAGGGATGTAACCTCATCCCTTGGCTTTTACTTTCATGATTTTAGCATGAGACCATCAAGTCTGTAGGCTCTTTGTTAGTAGTTGCTTGTTTTTAAACATTCAGGGACAGAATTCTTTCCTAAAATCAAGACATTACAGAAGAGCGAGGTCTGATGTGCCAGTTACAGGGGATTAATTGTGGGGGTTAGAACTGGATGATCCTTAGGGGCTCTTCCAACCCAAACCATTCTGTGGTGCAGTGACTGGTACCCACTGTCACCATTTCTGCATCTTTGTAGGAAGTTGAACTATTTCATGTCCCAAAAACATCCATATTTGTTGTTTTTCTCTGGGTTTTTTTTGTTTTGTTTTGTTTTGTTTTTGCTGAAAACCTCGTCAGTTTATTTTTCAGTTCCAGAAGTGTTTGGATGGTGCACTCAGGCACATGGTGTGATTTTTGGGGTTGTCCTGTTCAGGATGAGGAGCTGGACTTGGTGATCCTTGTGAATCCCTTCCAACATCCTGCATGGTGTAGGGATCTCCTTCTCAGTGCTGGGTGATTTCTGACTCCACTATGAGCTTCAATCCCTGCAGCTTTGCTTTTTGAAAAGTTTGCAGGACAGTTACAGAATTGATTGATTTTGGAAGGATCCTCTGGAAGTCATCTGATCCAACCTCCTGCACCAGCAGAGCTGCCAGATCCGGTTGCACAGGACGGTGTCCAGACAAATTTGGAATATTTCCATGGAAGGAGAATCCACAACATCCCTGGGCAATTTGTGTCAGCACCTGGTGACCCCCAGAGCCAAAAGGTGTTCCCTGATGTTCAGAGGGACCCTCCTGTGGTCAGTGTGTGCCCACAGCCCCTTGTGCTGTCCCTGGCCACCCCTGCCAAGAGCCTGGCTCTGTGCTCTCTGCACCCTCCCTGCAGGTGTGGATGGACAGGGATGAGGCCCCCAGAGCCTTCTCCTCTCCAGGCTGAGCATCCCAGCTCTCCCAGCCCTTCCTGGGAGCAGAGATGCTCCAGCCCCCTCCCTGGGCTCTCCCCACTCTGTCCTTGTCCCTCTTGTGCTGGGGAGGCAGAGCTGGACCCAGTGCTCAGGGGTGGCCTCAGCAGTGCTGAGCAGAGGGGCAGGATCCCCTCCCTGGACCTGCTGGAAGTGTTTTGTCCCACACAGCCCAGGCCACCACTGTCCCTTTTGTCACAAGGGCACTTTGCTGCCTCAGGCTCAGGCTGCAGGCTGCCAGGACCCCCAGGTCCTTTCCTGGCAGCTGCTTTTCCACTCAGCTGGGTGACCCCAGTCCAGCCTGGTGCCTGGGCTTGTCCCTCCCCAGGGGCAGGACTTTGCCCTTTTCCTTAAACACCACAAGGTCCCTTTTTGTCCCATTTCTCCAGCCCAATTCCTGTCCCCACACCCACCGGACACTCAGCCAAACCAGCCTTACACGGAATTATCTGAAGCACCCTGTTCTTCTTCATGTTGGCTGGCAAATTGCCCGTTCTCATCTTGTCATTCTGGATTTTGATTGAAGTGAGCTTCTGCAGGGCAAGGAGCAAAGCAGAGGGGAGTTTCAGAGCCACCCAGTGCCAGGTGATCCCTGCACCGTCCCAGCAGCTCCTCCAGGACCCCAGCCACGCTGCTCACCTTGAACTCCTCTTCCAGCCCGTTGCTGCTGGTCCCTGGCACTTTGTTGTAGATCTTCTGCAGGTGGATCTCTAAGGAGGTGCAGGGTGGGCTTTGAGAGAGGATCCCCATAGGATGGGTTAAAATCTCACTCAGGTTCATATCCACAGGAAAGACTGACCCTGGTTCAGACCAGCAGATTTTAACCTTATCCTAACAGTGACAGATATTTCTAAGTGCCCAGAAATACATGTGGGAATAGGGTTGGGTTCCCTCCTTGCACATATCACGATGTTTCTCTTTGAAAGATGAGTTTGTGTTCACCTGCTGAACTGAAAGACATGAAAATGCTCCAAGAACTGGAGCCCCTCTGTTCTGGAGATAGATGGGAGAGCTGGGGATGTTCACCTGGAGAAGAGAAGGTTCCAGGGAGGCCTTCAAAACCTTCCAGTGCCTGAAGGGGCTCCAGGGGAGCTGGCAAGGGATTTTGAAAAAGGGGCTGGAGTGATGGGACAGCGTGAAATGGCTTCACACTGCCAGAAAGCAGAATTAGGTGGAGAAATTCATTAATGTGAGGTTGTTAAAGCCCTCATACGGGTTGTCCAGAGAAGCTGTGGGTGTCCCTGGATCCCTGGAAGTGTCCAAGGTCAGGCTGGACAGGGCTCGAAACGACCTAAGTGAAAGTTGTCACAGCAAGAGGTTGGAAATGGATGGTTTTTAAGGTGCCTTCCAAACTATCCATGAGCAAATCCTGATGTGGAGGAAAGCAGTGATTTGTGGAAGGTTGAGCAGGTGGAGAAAGCCAAGCTCCAGGTCCTGCCCACAGGCTCATCCTCTTCTCCTCCTCCTCCTGCCCCACTCCATACAGGAGCTGTCACTCATGTGGAAGCTGCCTGTTTATTTAAAATAAGAAGAAAAAAAAAAAGGAACAGAAAGAAAACTAAATGGATTTTCAAGAAAGGGTGAATGGCTGCTGTGATTCATCTTTTCTGGTGAGGAGTGGAACAGCAGAGGGTGGGGGATAATGTTCAGTGACACATCAAAGGCCTCGCTTCAGCTTCGGAGACACATGCAAGGAATTAGTCACTGCGTTTTAGTGCAACAAAACCCTTTTTCCTCCCTAAATTCAATTCTTCTCTGCCTATGATGGCCAACTCGCCACAGCCCTCAGCTATTCCATGTGTGTTTTTGCATCCTCTGCATCTCATTGAGAGGTTTGGGTTATGATGAAGTTGCCCTGCTATCAAACAAACTCCTGTGCCGTGGATGGCAGCTCCAGTGGGAGGCTGGAAATCCACAAACAGGATTTAAAAGGAGGAGGGAGGGGGAGAGGGAATGGCAGGTTTGTTTTCCAGGGTGGCTGAGCCATGCTGATGGCTTGCTGCCACCAAAAAGAATTTAAAAAATGACCTTTTTCCCCTTTCTTTATGCTCGTGCTTGTTCTCACCCTACTGTGAGCTGCTTCAAAGAGCCAACCTTGCTCCCAGTTCTGCACCCTCTCTCCCTGCCAACAAATAAAAAGGAAAAATGAAAATGATTTTTATTTTTCGCTGCAGTTGGAGCCAGCATGAAGCAGTCTGAGTTGAGCCACTGCCTTTCAGCATCCTCCTGATGACAGCAGGGATTTCTGGGGTCCCGGCAAAGCTGGTTAGAATTCAGGTTGTGTCTCCTCGGTGCACACAGAAAAAGATTGCCTCATTTTCCAGGAATTAGGAATATGTCAGAGGTGGGGGTAAATCCTGCCTTTGATTGTGGACGGCTGTATCCGGGTTGGATCTGGGCAGTTTCTGCAGCAATAAACTCTAATTCTTTGCATTCTGGAAGCATGCTGGGGTGATCCTGCAGCCTGACCTCCCCCTGTAGCACCGGCACAGGCATTTTGAATCCACTTATTACTTTATAAAGAGATTATTTCCTTTATTTTTTTTTCTCTCTCCCTCCTCTGGCATCAATCAGCTTGACAAGATCTGCTTCTTTTAAAACATACATCCTGCAGCTTAAAATCCAGCTTTTCCTATAAGATCCCAAGCAGTTTATGGAAGAATGTAGTGTACATACACTATCTATATCTATATCTATATCTATATCTATATCTATATCTATATCTATATCTATATCTATATCTATATCTATATCTATATCATCTATATCTATATCTAATATATATATTTATATATCTATATCTATATATCTATATCTATCTATATCTATATCTATATCTATATATCTATATCTAGCTATGTCTCTAGCTATGTCTCTAGCTATGTCTCTAGCTATCTATATCTAATCTATATCTATATCTATCTATCTATATTTATATCTATATCTATCTATATCTGTCTATATCTATCTATATCTCTATATCTATATCTATATCTATATCTATATCTATATCTATATCTATATCTATATCTATCTATCTATATTTATATCTATATCTATCTATATATCTATCTATATATCTATATCTATATATCTATATCTATATCTATATCTATATCTAATCTATATTTATATCTATATCTATCTATATCTATATCTATCTATATCTATATCTATCTATCTATATTTATATCTATATCTATCTATATCTATCTTTATATCTATATCTATCTATCTATATCTATATCTATATCTATATCTATATCTATCTATCTATATTTATATCTATATCTATCTATATCTATCTATATCTATCTATCTATATATATATATATGTTTGTATATATCTATATCTATGTCTATATATCTCTATATATCTATCTCTATATATATCTATATTGATATCGATACCCATATCTATATCTATACACACAAAAATAATACCTATATATACAACATCTACAGGCACACCAGTGGCAATTACCAAGATTTCCAAGCCTGATCTTTGAGAACAGAAGGAGCCACGGTGCTGAGCATCCCAAGCCTCTGGAGCAGCGGTGCCAGAGGCTCCAGCTCCCTTCTCCCTTCTCCCTTCTCCCTTCTCCTTTCTCCCTTCTCCCTTCTCCCTTCTCCCGGGCAGAGCCGGCGCCCTGACGTCAGGGTGTTTTTCTGCAGAGCTCGCAGGATGTCGCAGCCGGCCAAGAGCTGTGTTTATGTTGATAACATTACAAGTATTTCCTCTCCATTTCCGAAACCAGCAGGGAGGGGGAGCCGAGGGGGAAGGGAGACTCGGGTTTCTCCAGCTTTGGGGTAGGACTCTCGAGGCCTTTTATGTTAAAGAGCAGGGAGCGATGAACCGCTGGCGTTTATTTATGCTGCTTTTGGGAATAAGGAGTGTTTTAGAGCAGGGAACTGGGAGCTGGGCTGGCACAGGGCTCTTTGCCTGCTCCCTGCTCCAGATCTGGTTTTAAGGTGATAAAGCAGCTCTAGCAGCTGATTGCCGGTCACAGGAGCAGCTCCAGGGATTTGGATTTTTGGGTGATGATGTGCACGGCAAGCTGGGATGCTCCCAGCATCCCATTCCTTCTGACAGTCACAGTGATAAAGCCATAAAAACTCAGGTTCTGCACGGGTCGCCCGCATCCAGCTTTCTTCACAAAAGCTTGGGGAAATCCTGCATTATCTCCCCTTGCCAAGCCCTTCCTCCTCCTGCAATCCACTCATGGATCAATGAACTGATTAAATGTGGAATCAAGGGGGGTTTAGAGCTCCCTGCCTGCTGATGTAATCCCAGAGCTGTGCTGCCAGCTCAGCGAAGGAGTGACCCTCATCGATGGCTGGACTAGATGAGCTTAAGGGTCTTTTCCAACCTAAAGCATTCTGTGATCATCAGACCATCCCAAAGGGGCTTTGCAGCCACTCCAGGAATCTCCTGTAGCTCTCATCCATGTAGCAATCACGGTTTATGGAAATAAACCCAAACTCTTTTGTCCTTTGTGGGTTTTTTCCCGGTAATGGAGAGCAGAGAGGGGATTCATGGCTTTTCCTTCTTTGCTCCCACCCTCCATGTCCTGCTTTAACACCAAGGGAAAGTGTGGTGAGGACGTGGGGAGACTCTGGCACAGCTTGCCCAGAGCAGGAGCAGCAATGGGATGGGTGGGATCCCAGATGAACAGGGATCCTAAATGAGTGGGATCCCAAATGAACAAAGACCCAGTGTGAACAGGGATCCTAAATTAATGGGATACTGAATCAATGGGAATGCCAAACGAATGGGATTCCAAATGAGTGGGATAATGAATTAACAAAACCACAAATTAATGGGAATTCCAAATGGTTGCAGATCCCAAGTGAACGGGATCCCAAATAAACAGAACTCAAAATGAATTGGGATCCCAAATGAACAGGATCCCAAATGAAGGGGAACTCTTGTTTTGAGAAGCAAGTCGGGGGAAGAGAAAGGAGCCATATCCACCTCAGTCAATGGTGTTTCTGTGCAAATATTCATCAAAACACAGCAAGTGGTCACTTTTTCTAGCAGTTCTTACAGAGGAGCCGAGTCTTCCCCTTTTCCTTGCCATGGTGTCCTTGGTGTGGCTGGGATGGGTTCCCAGTGACGGTAGTGGTTGTGATGATGAGATCTTGGTGCTTTCATCGGTCTTTGTGAGGTTTTCAGAGCATCTCTCTGCCATCATTTCCATTCTCTGGAGTTTCAGAGTGTGTTTAACTTCCTCCTGCTTTTGCACGTGGGTCCTGTCAGGATCAGCACCTTATTTCTGTGGGATTCCACAGTGGGATGCTTGGACAATCCCTCTCCTGCAGAAAGGTGCAAAGATCATAGAATTATGGAGTTGTTTGGGTTGAGAAGGGACCTTAAAGATCGTTCAGTTCCACCCCACTGCTCTGGACAGAGACACCCTGCACTATCCCAGGTTGCTCCAAGCCCTGTCCAACCTGGCCTTGGACACTGCCAGAAATCCAGGGGCAGCCACAGCTTCTCTGGGCACCCTGTGCCTGCCCACCCTCACAGGGAAAAATTTATTTCTTATAAATAATAAATTTTCTCCCCAAAGCCAAACCTGTGTAGACCAGGCTCGTCTCAGACTCTGGCAAGTGTCTGTCCAAGCTGAGTGGGGCGTATTAATCACCATGAGTGGAATATGCCATCAAACCATCAAACTGCTGGTTGTGGGTTTTTCCTGACATCCCACCCTGGAGCACA